AAGTAGATTGCAGATAAGGCTGCCCCTACCCATTTGACCTCAAACTGAATTTCAAATTCAGCAGTTAACCTTAGAATAAAATAAAAATATTCCAGGTCAGAAACATACTCTTTACAATCTATTTCAGAGAGACCTTTAAGCCTTGCTTTAAATATAGTCTAGATCAGTGGTTCTCAAACATTTTGCTTGTAAGGACACCTTTGCTTTCTTAAGTATTGAGGAATATGAACTATATCTCAGTAAAGCTGTTAAAAAAGTTACTTAAGGGCTTTCCTGGTGGCGCAGTGGATAAGAATCCACCTGCCAATGTAGGGGACACGGGTTCAAGCCCTGGTCCGGGAAGATCCCACATGCCGCGGAGCAACTAAGCCCGTGCGCCACAACTACTGAAGCCTGCACGCCTAGAACCAGTGCTCCACAACAAGAGAAGCCACTGCAATGAGAAGACCGTGCACTGCAACGAAGAGCAGCCCCCACTCACCGCAACTAGAGAAAGCCCACGCAGAGCAACAAAGACCCAACGCAGCCAAAAATAAAATAAATAAAATAAATAAATTTATTAAAAAAAAAGTTACTGAAGAAATCATAGAGCTTATTTATGGACGTTACATTTATCACTGTTAACAGGATCAAAATTCAAAACTGAGAACATTAAAAACATTTATTTAATCTAAAAATAAACCAATTATATGTAACAGGAAGTTTGGTTTTCATTTTTTTTGGCTGTGTTGTGTCTTCGTTGCTGCGTGCTGGCTTTCTAGTTGCGGCGAGCGGGGACTACTCTTCGTTGTGATGCGTGGGCTTCAGTAGTTATGGTGTGCGGGCTCAGCAGTTGTGGCTCGCGAGCTTTAGAACTCAGGCTCAGTAGTTGTGGAGCACGGGCTTAGTTGCTCCATGGCATGTGCGATCTTCCAGGACCAGGGATCGAACCCATGTCCCCTGCATTGGCAGGCGGATTCTTAACCACTGTGCCACCAGGGAAGTCCCAGGAAGTTTTTTTAAATGCAAAATAACCTTTTCAGTTAAAAAAAAAAATAGAAGAGTGACACTGTTTTATATTTAATGTTTGGCTTAACAACTGGTTTCTCATATCTGCTTCTGCATTCATCCTGGTGCAATGAATTGATTTGGTTGAGCCATATGAAGAAAATCTGGCCTCGTGCAGATATTTAGTTGGAAAAGGAAGGAGTATTTTAATATACTTTTAAAGATAATTGTGTGGCTATTTGATAATATACCAAAACTTGACAAGTGATAGTTTTTTTAAGATTATTTGCAGTGTGGAATCTGAAGCCATGTCAGCGAACTTTTCTTACTGCTACATCAAGACCATGGTCTCTTCCTTCTCTATCATAACATAGCATCCATGTTTTGCTTCCTCTGCTCCTGTATCTTGTCATTTAGCAAGCTGATCTTGTCAGTGTTGATAGCCCTATTGACAGTGGTCACGTCCACCAAACATACGTTTTGCTTGGAAGTAATTTGAGTTATCAGAGAGGGGCTATTCTTGTATGTATGTGTGAACTGGCCCTTGAATTCTCAAGGGCAACCATTTTCATAAAATCCATGTAGTTACTCTAGACGTTAGGGTCTGCCCTGCCAGATAGTTTCTTAACAAAGCCCATGGAAAAGAGGAAAAAGGGAATGTTGTTATGTTAAAAATGTCTTACATCCTTCCCTAAATATTGCGTAGGAATCTCTAACAATGTGTGTGTGGTTTTTTTTTTTTTTTTTAAACTTACGGATTTTCTGTCATCGTGTGTGTGTGTACGCGCACACACGTGGTTGCTTTAGCTTACTGTTCTACAATATGAGACAATTCCTTAGATAGTCTGGTCAGTTTCAGTTGGGTAATAATAATGAAAGAGATCTTTTAGAGTCTTGCTACTTAAAATGTTGTAGCAGCAGCATCAACAAGTAGGCTCTTGCTAAAAATACAGTATGTCAAGTCTTACCCCAAAACCATCGGATCAGAATCTGTGATTAATAAGATCACAGATGTTCATATACACATTAGTTTGAACAGCACTGCTTTAAATTATTGAAGCTATCTGAATAGAGTGAGTGCTTTTTCTGGCTTAGGTTTTCTTAAAAATACCACCAGGCTGCTTTTGTTCACATTTTACAGAATCAGTAAGTTCATTGGGAAGGAGAACTAACTGAATGAACAATCTTAATATATGCTTGAACGTAGACACAAGGTCAGGTGGAATGTGACCTTTTAGTTCTGAGCATCTTGTTATCCTACTATTATAGGAAGAAGGACTTTCTATGAAATCTATATCTCAGGGTCCTGTCAAAATCAGAAATTGCTTGTAACTCGTCTCCTGTGCTCTCCTGCATCAGGACTGTTGCCTTTATCAGTCTTAAGACTGGAGAGAACCACTGATTCTGGCATGGATCTGGGGCCAAGAGGTAGCCTGGAGGTTTAGGATTAGACACTTTCTAGAAGTTGGAGGAGTCAAGAAGGGATCATGAGGCAGGACTCCAGTTTGCCCTGCTGGGCTCTGGGAGGCTCTCTGGGGATGCTGCCCAATTGTGGAGTGTCTCTTGCGTCTTCCAGGGTAGGGTACCTGCCCTTTACCTCCGCTGCCATTGCATTTGCAGCTTGTTGCCAATGGTAGACAAAGTTCATGTCCTTTAACACCTGCATTATGTTCTCCTTTTATGAGGATCCATATCCACGTGAAGTACTATTTTTCAAGTGAATAATACTGCACGTAGACAACATTGTACTTAAAATTGTTAATATTTTGTTTGCCTTTGGAGTTAATTAGTATGGTTTACGAAAGTATGAACTTTCCAGTTGAAATGTTTTAGAATATATGAAGCAAGTGATAAGGAAAATAGGTAACCATTTGGCAGATAAGGGCCTCATGAGACTTGAAATTTCTAGTGCTCAAGTAAAAACTTGTATTTCAGTATATACCGTACTTACAGTTTATTCCTGCAAAAACAAACAGTATATAAGTAAGATTTTCAGGTATTCAAGAATTGATTCACATTGGAGAGTTTTCTTGAGATTACAGAGTTTTAGAATGAAGTTTTAAAGTTGCAATTTAGAATCTATGTATTGACTGGTAGATAGTTAGCCAGATGGACTTAAATACGTGAATATCCTTCAAAGGGAAATCTGAGACATTTTTCACATCTGAAACACCCTACAAAAACATTTTCGTTATCTTTGTAAAATGGGTGCATTTGATGTTAGACACAAGTTATTATTAAGCTTATTTTAAAAGTTCAGTTTAATTCTTGGGTGTGAACAAATAAGGTTGTAGTGGTTACAGGTGAATGTTCTTATTTTTAGAAGGCATGTGCTGAAATAATTGTGGTTGAAGTATTATGTTTACAACCTGCAGATGATTGAGAAAAACAAATTATAACAATATAGCAAACAGGACAGGGACTTTCCTGGTGGTCCGGTTGTTAACACTCTGCACTTCCAATGCAGCGGGTGAGGGTTCGATCCCTGGTTGGGGAGCTAAGATCCTGCATGCCACGCAGCATGGCCAAAAAACCCCCCGAAAATGAAAAAACAAAAAACAGGACAAAGTGTTGTTGAGTTCAGGTTTAATTATTTTTATTAAGATATAGTTGATGGTACAATATTATATACATTTTCAGGTGTACAGCATAGTGATTCACAACTTTTAAAGGTTATATTCCATTTACTAGTTATTATAAAATATTGGCAATATTCCCTGTGTTGTACAATATATCCTTGTTTATCCTAGCTTATTTATGTTATATATAGTAGTTGGCACCTCTTAATCCCCTGCCCCTGTCTCGCTCCTCTCAACTTCCTGCCTCCCTACTGGTAACCACTAGCTTGTTGTCTATATTTGAGTTCAGGTTTAGATATATTTTTCTGTGTTTTTCTATAATAAAAGCTTGGGGGTAGGGAAGCATACCCCTTAAAAGTTAGTATCAATTTTATAATTTACTGGTACTTAAATTACAAGCAGTTATATAGCTTTTAATGGATTTAGTCTGAAGCACTCTTACTGTTGGTCTTTCTGTGATTGACGCCATGTCCATGTAATTTCTCTATGGAGAAGATACTGCAAAAAGAGAATTAGAAAGTGAATTGCTTTTAAGGTGAAGGCAAAGTGTATTACATTTTATTATGATGTGAAATTTTGAACATTCAAAATTACTGTTACTTTTATTTATTACTTTTATTACTAATGTAATAATTTTTTAGTAAATAGAATTAGTAACATGTAATACTTTGTTTAGTAAATAAAAAGTTAAAGGGATTGATTGGCATTTTCAGTCTTTTTGGTGTATAGGAGTTTAAAAAAAAATGAGGGCCAGGAAAGTACTTCTTATTTAGACTTTGGTAAAATCAGAGAAACTTTCATTGCACTCAGATTTCTCTCTTCTGCCTATTATTAAGAAGGGAAAATACAGCAAAATTTCCCAACTTCTTTGAGATGGAAAGAGGTAGGATGTGATAACAGTTGTATTCTCAGATTAGTGAATAGAAGAAAAGATTTCAGATCAACAAGTGATTTGCAGAACTGTAAAGATAATCTTTTGATTCTGAATTATTTGCAGTTGGAATCTATACTTTATTACTTTATCATGCCCCTTAGAACTGTGGAAGGGATGAAATGTGAAGAGCTGTGTGTGTGTGTGTGTGTGTGTGTGTGTGTGTGTGTGTGTGTGTGGTTTGGTTTATTTTCTGTAGGGTATGGTGTTGGGGACTTCATGTCTGCCAAAAGTTGCTCAAATTATCCCGTATCTGCTTTTGAGGAACTAGCTTTTCTTACCTTGATTTGCACTTTATTGCAAATAATATTTATTTGAAATTTAGTTTCAGAGAATAATTATTTGAAACTAAATAATTTTAAAGCAGTGTTGTTTTCTAATGGAAAATATGGTTAGTATGCTTTATGGGGCAGAATGTCAAGTGGTAATCTTAATTATTTATAAGATCATATTCATGTTAGTGGATTTCTAGGAATAACACAGCCTTTTTTCTTCTTTTGTAGCATAAGCAGTACTATAATGGATGTAGACAGCACAATTTCCAGTGGGCGTTCAACTCCAGCAATGATGAATGGACAAGGAAGCACTACTTCTTCAAGCAAAAATATTGCCTATAATTGTTGTTGGGACCAGTGCCAGGCTTCCTTCAACTCTAGTCCAGATCTGGCAGATCACATCCGTTCCATACATGTAGATGGTCAGCGAGGAGGGGTTGGTTTTGTCATTTCTTTTTTTCACTCCCTGTTTTCATTATTTTTATTAATTTATAATTGCTAGTTAGGCTTTTTTTTTCTTTTCAAAGTAATTTGGGATTGCTTTTACACAGGGTTTATTTTTTTCAAATGTTTTTTTTTTCCCCTTTTATTTACTTCCCGCATATTTGATGGAATCAAATTAAATAGAACATATTATGCGTTGGATTTTAATTTGCTCTTAGGTATATTACTTTGAAGAAAGTAGACTTTCTACAATACAGTGGGAGTATTGTAAATGAATACTATGTATTTCAAGCTTCTGATGTTTTGAGTTGAGGACATTTAGGAATTGGCACTGTTTGGGATTTCTGTTGTTAAAGTGGTCTTAAGTTATCCCTGATGCTGAAATGAATTAGAGAAACTATTGGTACCAGGATTAGTATAAACAGTCCTGTTAAATGGCAGTCTGTACTCATTATTTGTGATAATTGATCATCTTTCCCAGGTCTTGTCAGAGCTGGCTTAGTATTGACCTGTATTCTTTCAGGAATCCATTTAGTTGTGTCAGTTCATATACTTTTTATTGAATAGTAAATAAAGAGCTAAAGCAGATTAGGTGAGGCACAGTGTAATGGACCAAAATATTTATAAAATTGATAATATTATAATTTTTTTCAACTTTATCTAGGTTTATGTCTTGAATAGTTAACCATACTTAGTATGTTTTCCAGAAATTAATGTCACATTGTAAGTACAGATAATTTATTAGGCCACACATTGCCTGTCAGTGTGCCATCACTTTTGAGATATACTGATACTAAAATGGTTAAAATCTTCTTGGTTTAAGTAAGTGGGTAACTGTTTTCATGGTGGTATTGATATTTAGATTGTATTACTGATCTTTTTTTTTTTAAACACGCAACCATAACAGGCACTCCTCATGTTTTTACCAATGGTGTTGCATTTGAAATTTCTTTTAAGAGATATTTGCTGTTATCACAATATGTTATAATGTTTCAGCAATCTTTTAGTTACTTGATAAGTAAACATTTGTCATATTATTAGATTTAACGTGTATGGGGTCTGGGTAGACACCAAAGCGTGTATTAATGAACTGTGCCCATCATATGGTATTTTCACTGCCTAACCCACCCAGCTCAGTGGTTAAACTCCGTTGGTAACAGTCTTTATTTCCCCCATATATATATCTCAGATTTTTAGTAAAACTGTCGTAACCCAGTTGGTTTCTTGGTCATTACAGAGTTGCCTTTTGTGAGCCAGTGCTTGTTGTCACTTGGTGTATATCACTAAGGTAGTCCTTTGAACCATGGCATGATGCTTTTCAGTCACTTGACTTCACAACTGCATATAGGATCCCAAGCTATGTAGGTGATCTCTTAGGAGGTATAGGAGAAGTTCACATTTCTAAGTCTTGATCCTACAAGTTGAGTCGGCACACAGCCTTTAGGGAGAATGTTTTCTGCCTTTTACAGATTTGAAGAAAAAATGGAGTTAACAGTCTGAATGTATCATGTAATCCCTGCACCTTGCACCTGCACGTGTCTTACTGATATTACAGAGCTAGGCATGAAGTTGTGGTATTTCTACAGTAACTATAAACTTGCTGAAATGGAAACCCCCTCCCCCATGTCATTTCTTGAATGCTTATTCATAAAGTTACTTTATTACAAATAATAAGATTTTCTGGCTGATTTTAAGAGTAATGCTATTTTGACTTCAGAAAGATGTCCTGATCTTTGAAGGACATTAGTTGCTAAACTACAAACGTAAAGGATCAGCTAAATGAAGGAAGTAGTTTCCATTTATTTCTACATATCAGTCTTTGATATCTAGACTTAAGCTTTCAGAATGAAAATGTGAATGAGAATTTGAAAAATTTGATACTGCTAGATAAGACAGGAAATCTTGATCTAGTTTGTGCTTTAAAATAGAACAGTTGTGTCTACGGCCAGTACCACCCTGAACGCGCCCGATCTCATCTACAATAGAGTAGTTGTGGGTTGGAACATTTTTTTTTAAAACGACCTCTTGGAAGGGAAATTAAAAAGAAATCATTTAAATTGTTTTTAAGTGTACAGTTCAGTGGCATTAAGTACATCACATTGTTGTGCAGTCATCACTACTGTCATTCTCTGGAACTTTTTCATTATCCCAAACTGAAATCTGTACCTTTTAGACAATAACTCACTAATCGTCTCTTCCGCTAACCCCTGGTAACCACTTTTCTGCTTTCTGTCTCTATAAAATTGACTATTCTAGATACCTCATGTATAGTGGAAAACAGCTGATTTTGATGACATTTTTAAAGAATTTTTATTTCTCTTCTTTCTACTCCAAGTGTTAAACTGTCATAATGGAACAGAAACAAATGAGTAATTCTGCAGGATTTTATGTTTCTAATTACTGAAAGATGACAGTTTTTCTGGAGCAGTAAGTTAGTAAGATCTAAATACTATATTAATTCCTGTTCTTTTTCTCATCCCACTCTAATCTTTGCCCTGGGAAAAACAAAACTGTCATATAACAGCTTAGAAACTTCTTTACCTTCCAGTAAGCTGTTTATGTTGCCATGTCATGTGGACTTTATATTTGAAGGATGAAATCAGGTGGAGTTTAGGTTTTTCCTGACCCTTTCAAAGTGGGTGGATACTTAATTCTACATTAAAAGGACTTACCATTTAAACACCTTTTATGAATATACCTTTTTTAAAAAGAATCATGAGAGTACTTTCTTGTATTTAAAAAATAAAAACAGGGACTTCCCTGGTGGCGCAGTGGTTAAGAATCTGGCTGCCAGTGCAGGGGACACAGGTTCGAGCCCTGGTCTGGAAAGATCCCACATGCCGGGGAGCAACTAAGCCTGTGTGCCACAACTACTGAGCCCATGTGTCTAGAGCCCGTGCTCTGCAACAAGAGAAGCCACAGCAATGAGAAGCCTGCGCACCGCAACGAAGAGTAGCCCCTGCTCACCGCAATTAGAGAAAGCCCGCACGCAGCAATGAAGACCCAACGCAGCCAAACATAATTGAATAAATTTATTAAAAAAAATAAAAAAGCAAGAAAAATTTAACCGTTTTTGTTAAGTAAAATAGAATTGTGTTCTTGGACTCATACTTCTGTGCATGACTGGATTTCAGAAACGAGGCTGAGCTGTTTTACTAATCAAATTTCAAACCCCTGTGTCTTCTTAATATACACGTAAGTCTTGGTAGGCAGGGAACTTAATCTTGTAGGATTTCAGTGGTTCCGTAAGATCCATTAGTGTTCTGTTTTTTTCTGTCTTAACTATTACTTTAAAAACAGTTGCCAGAAAGAAATCTGTTTATGTTTCTTGTTGCCAGGGGTGCTTTTACATGTGTCATTTTATTAAGTTTACTTTTGTATATGTTCTTTGGTGTGTTTGAGGGAAGAGGGCCAGAGGGAGATTTTGAGGAGGGGCGATAATAGGATATTATTATTCAAAGACTCATGAGTTACCTCTGTGTTATTTAAAATGATATTTTTAGACTCTCATGGTTAAATCCGAATGCTGCTAGGAAGTGGAATCAATCTTAGGAGGTTACTTTGTGTTTTGATTGCCAGTCTGGTATCTCCTGAACACAACATGAAGTTGGTCATATCTTTTGCAAGAAATGAGAAATATTTTATTCTTGTATTTGGACAGTTTATTGAATATTTTGTCCTCTGTTTATTAAATACCTTTTAACAGAGGAAATTGAAAATGTTAGCACATTTAATGTGGCTAAAAATTATGGGATACAAAGTTATAGCCTTCATTTTAGACAGATCTTGAAAGAGCAGACTGATTTGAGACAAAATAAATATCAAAGACATTTGCTTCCCTTTTACATGTTCACATTTTGTGAAAAACTGAGCTAGTTTTTTCCTACGGGCTTAAAGGGACCATGAGATCATCCATTCAACCCCTTCCTGACTTTAGATTGTGTCTCCCTTATTTAATATACAATCTTTTTGTATCATTTTACTGCAGAAGGAATCTAATTAGTAGAAGTAGGCTTTCTTTCACTCCCTTTGAGCATGTAAATTATACTGCTTACTGGCTCTGTATTTGAGTATATTTGACTGATTTTACTTTACTAATAGTAATGGAATTTTCCTTATGCATGCTTATTAGACTTTTACAGGTTGCATTGTACTGTTTTGCAGTGGGTTTTACAATTTACCTACAGAAATTTTTGTCTACATTCATTTAAAAAGTAGCTTTTAATTCTGGTAACTTTAGGAATCCTTTTATAAACATGTATTAGGGTCAGGAATTTTAAGTACCAAGGAGGAAATGTTATGACTTATAATATCTGCTTAACTAAACGAAACCAGCAAATCTGTTGTAGAATCAAGATATGCGATAACATTCTTTAAGCATATCAAACAGCAGTAGCAGTGTTGTCTTGTTGTAAAATGATTTTGAGTAAAAATAGATCTCAGTTACTTTAGACTGTTTTTCTAGACTTCTAAAAAATTTTATTTTACACTTACTGTTTAATGATTGTTTCCTCAGTCCTGTGTGTATCTTTGTTCTGTTCTGTATGTAGTACATTATAATCTTCAGAGTGTGGCTCTATTTATAATTGTTCTAACCTTAGAAAAGAACAGAGCCTATATATGGTTTTTTGAAGGCAGCGGTTACAGTAGATTCGTACTTCTTTTACTGATGATGGGGAGCAGTTTTCAGTGTTCAGTTTGCTAAAAATAGAATCGGTCAAAAAATTGATACCTCAATGGTAGGAAAAAGATTATGTTGTTAGTTGTTAACCCAGTCATACTCAGTTGCCTGGACCCAAGAATGTGGATCTATTATGATGATAGAAGTATCTCGTGACATTCCTTTTGCAACTATATTAATTTTAACATTCTGTATTAGATTTTGCTTCATAAGCAAGATAATTGGAAATCATTTTTAATAAGTAGAACAATATAAACATAAGTAGTGTTAGTATACATTTGAGAATAGGAAATCAAGAGCAGAAAGACTAATTGGATAATTTGTTTACTCATTCTTTGAATGAGTGTCCACCAATTGACTCTTTTGATTTATTTTCATTGTTTCTTTATACCTTAATATATTTCTGATATTTACAATTAATACATGCTTGTTCCCCCATGCAGTAAATACAAAAAATGTAAATAATGGTCCATGGTTCTAGTTCCTAGGGCTATATTGTTAATATTTTGTATATTTCCTTCTGAATGGCACTTTGGGATTGGTGTATCAGTTCCTTATTGAGGGAATGGACAGCAGCCTTAATGGGGAAGGGTTAAAACTATGCCTCTCATTCTGGAAGTTCAGAAAGTTTATCTACAATAAGCATTTTGATTGACTTGTACAATAAATGTCTCTTTGTGAATTGAAGACTTCCAGCATGTTTGTTTGAATTTACAAGGAATAAAAGTCCTTGTTGAAATAAGTGATGAAAACAATTATGGCTCTTCTTTTAACAGGTGTTTGTTTGCTTATGGAAAGGTTGTAAAGTATATAACACTCCGTCAACCAGTCAGAGTTGGTTACAGAGGCATATGCTGACACACAGTGGAGACAAACCTTTTAAGGTAAGTAAGTGTATGTGAGTTTTTTCTTCACTTCAAGTTAACATGTTTTTTAATGGGCATACTTTTGCCCTTCTAAAAGTTTTTTAAAGAACCATTTGTTTTAACATTCCCATAGATGCATGGAATTTATAAAATAGATGAAGGTAAAGATAATTTAATCTAATTTTTAAAATTTGAAGACCAGAAAAAAGTCACTGTGAAGGTAGGGTCTTGAAAACAGCTAGTGTGCAGATCAGTGACTTGAATGTATGTCTTTAAAATTGCTTGGTTGTGGTTAATACCTCGTGCTCTAATTATATTTTCTCACTGTCATAGGTTTGAACCTTATTATTAGCAAACAGTACCGATTATTATATGAAAAAATAAAATTGTAGAACATTAAGGGATTTGATTCTTTTCACTCAGTTTTGAGGTCATGCTACTGAGCTCAGTCATAAATTACCGTGTCAAATAGATGTATTTGGGGAAATCTGTACAAAGAGCAATTTTCTGTAAAAACCATTTTTCCTTTTATCCTCATTAAAAGTTAAAATAGTTTGGTCTGTAACTATGGAAAGCATATACTATAGAGATTAAAAGTTTGTATTTAAAGAAGTTTCATAAGTTAACACAGTATCTGCTGGTATATAAATACTGTGCCAGAAACTTCCCTTGGGTTTCGTTAGAGAAAGAGATTATTCTTGTAGAGTTGTTTTTTTAAAAATTACTTAATTTTTTTGGAAAAGACAATCATTAACAATTTTAAAAAATTATAAAGAAAAAATTTAATTGAGAAATCTTGCTCCCTTTCTTGTTCCTTATTTTCGCTCCCCTGAATATATAACCATTGTTCTTAGTTAGTAGTGAATTCTTTATGAAACTACAAGCAGATACATATGTAGGATCATTCTCCTTCCTTTTACACAAAATCTAATAAACTATATACTGTCTGTATCTTATTTTTTATAAGCCTTTTATTTTAGAGCAGTTTTAGATTTATAGAAATATTACAAAGATTGCAGAGTTATTGTATGTCCTATACCAAGTTTCCCGTTATTAACATTTTTATTGTATGTATGTGTACCTTGCTTTTTTTTTTTTTTTAAGATGTTGGGGGTGGGAGTTTAGTAATTTATTTATTTACTTTTGCTGTGTTGGGTCTTCGTTTCTGTGCGAGGGCTTTCTCTATTTGCGGCGAGCGGGGGCCACTCTTCATCGCGGTACGCGGGCCTCTCACTATCGCGGCCTCTCTTGTTGCGGAGCACAGGCTCCAGACGCGCAGGCTCAGTAGTTGTGGCTCACGGGCCTAGTTGCTCCGCGGCATGTGGGATCTTCCCAGACCAGGGCTCGAACCCGTGTCCCCTGCATTAGCAGGCAGATTCTCAACCACTGCGCCACCAGGGAAGCCCATGTACCTTGCTTTTGTAACATACTTTCTAGTAGAGATCTTTTCATATCTGTTCATAGACAATATTCTCTTTTTTAACAGTTTCACAGTATTGCATTGTGTTGCTGTAGCAGTTTATTTAAGCAAACTTGTGTAGATACTTGGGTTGATTTTAGTCTTTTCCTGTTGCAAATAGTACTGCAGTGATAAATCTTTGAACATATGTCATTTTGTACATGTGTAATCGTATATGTAGGAGAAATTCCCAAAATGATGTGAGTGGTTGGATCAAAGGCTATATAAGCATTGGTAATTTTGATAAATATTGCCAAACTGCCCTCTGTAGGGGTTGTGCCCTCATCAGCAATGTTACAGCGTCTGCCTTCACAGCTTTGCTAAGAGGCTGTTGTCAAACTTTTGTGGTTTTGCCCATCTAATAGATGAGAAATTGCATCGTGATGTAGTTTTTTATTTTTATTTTTTGGCCGCGCCTCATAGCTTGCAGGATCTTAGTTCCCTGATCAAGGATCAAAGCCCAGGCCCATGCAGTGGAAGTGCCAGGTCCTAACCACTGGACCGTTAGGGAATTCCCTCCCCTGATGTAGTTTTGCTTTTCCTTTGTTATTGATGAAGTAGGGCATCTTTTCATATGTTTAACCATTTGGATTTCTTTTTTTTTTGTTCTTTTTAAAATAGTCTTATTGAGCTTTCTGTTGGCATGTGGGTCCTATAATGTTAACCCCCTAGTCTTCCCTGTAGTCATACTACAGATCCTGGCCCTGAAGTATGTGACCTGGGACAGTTTTTTGAACTTCCCATCTAAACACGTAACTGGTAATAATAGTTACCTCATAGAGTTGTACAGTATATAGCTAGTAAATGTAAGAGATTATTGTTGTTAAAGAATCATTTCCTTTCTCATTGTATTTCCGTATATTTTTCTTTAAGGCAGCAATTCTGTTGCTGGTCGATTATGATGTTCAGGTTAATTTCACAGCCTGTACAAATGGATTTCCCCCCCCCAGATCTCTTTTTAGAAACTAGAGAAGATTCCCATTGGAGAGGGGGAAAGAAAATGTCTTTAAAAGACAAAAGTTAAGGAGTGTGATTTAGTGAGGCATTTTTCTATAAGTCATAGGAATCATTTGAATCAAAAAAACATTTTTTGATGTCTGCAGTACATGGCAACGTGCTAGGCATTTGGGAAGCAAGGTGAGTAGGAAAGGCAGGCCTCTGCCCTTCAGGGAACTTAACATCTTTAGGTTTATACAGATGTAAGTAGATTTAAGTAGTGAAATGTCACTATAGGTCACTATAGTGACCTTCAAAAGGTTCTCTGGAAACATGAATTAGTGATGAATGGGGCTGGAAAACAGTAGTAGGAGGTGAGTGGGAGTTGGCTATAGAGAGGAGGTGATGAGGTGAAGATGCTTGAGGCAAGTCCCTTTGAAAAAAATTTTTTTAGTTGTAACATGATATAATGTACAATAAAGTATTTAAAGTACCCTTAAGTGTTCAGCACTTTAAAGGTTTGTTTCGTATGTTTGTATGCACCTGTGTAACTACCATTCTGATGAAGAGTATTTTCAGTAAAACCAAGTTGCTTAATGTCCCTTCCCAGTCTATCCCCCTCCATCCTCTACTCCTTCCCCCAGGCCATGTTACGGTTTCTGTCATCCTGGCTTAGTTGTATGAACTTTTGTGTCTGGCTTTTTTTCACTCAACAAAATAGCGGTGAGATTTGTCCTTGTAGGTATCAGTCATTAAAAAAAAACAACTGCTGTGTAGCATTCCAGTGTCCAATAAACCATAGTTTATCCATTCTTCTGCTCATGGGTTTCTAGTCTTTGCCTGTTATTAATCAAGCTGTCCTAAACACACTCTTCTCCATGTCTTCTGATGGCACACGTGTACTCATTTCATTTCTCTTCGTTGTATCGTTAGGAGTGGAATTACGGAGTCATAGAATATGGCATATTTAGCTTTAGCAACTACAGACTCTTTTTCAGATTGGTCATAGCGCTTTACATTACCACCAGCAGTGAATGAGAGTTTTAGTTACTCTGTATTTTGGTATTTGCCATCTTGTTAATTTTAGCCATTCTGGTGTCGGTGTAGGGGGATCCCACTGTGGCTTTAATTTTTATTTCCCTGGTGAGTAATGATATGTTGCACACATTTTCATGGGCTTCTGGCTATTTGAATTTCCTTTTTTGGGTGAAGTGCCTATTCAAGCCCTTTTCTATTATTTTATTGAATGATTTGTCTTTTATTATTATGTAAAATTTTGTATATATTTTGGATACAAGTCCTTTGTCAGATATGTATATTGTAAATGCCTTCTTCCAGTCTGTCTTTGGTTATCCTTTTCACCTTTCCTAATGAGATCTTTTGAAGAGCAGTTTTTAGTTTTAATGAAATCTAATTTATCAGTTTTACGGTTAGTGCTTCTTGTATTCTATTTAAAAAATCTTTGCCAGCCCTCAGTATATGAAGATGAGGAGGATCGTAACAGAGCTAAGAGTTTTGTCTCATGGTAATAGGGAGGTCATTTCAGAAGTGTGTGTGTGTGTGTGTGTATAAAATAATTTACAGGGGCTTCCCTGGTGGCGCAGTGGTTGAGAGTCCGCCTGCCGATGCAGGGGACGCGGGTTCGTGCCCCGTTCCATGAAGATCCCACATGCCGCGGAGCGGCTGGGCCCGTGAGCCATGGCCGCTGAGCCTGCGCGTCCGGAGCCTGCGCTCTGCAACGAGAGAGGCCACAACGGTGACAGGCCCGCTTACCGCAAAAAAAAAAAAAAAAAAAATTACATATCATAAAACTTACCAAGTGTATAATTAAGTAGTTTTTAGTGTATTCACAGGTTTGTGCAACTATCACCACTAATTACAGAAATATGTACTTTTGAAAGAAAGAAAAGGAAGCATAAAAGAATGAGTGGACTATTTAGGGAATAACATGTAGTTTCATATATTTAACTATACTTTATGGTGGCAATTTGAAAATATGTAAAAAAAAATTCTGACTAGTGAGCTTGGACTCTCTAGAAATTAAGTATACAAGTAATTGGTTGCAAAATGTTTTCTTTGCATTACTGTTCTTATCTCTTATTACCTATTAGCCTGGAATCTGATTATTATAAGGAGTTTGCATTGTATTTTTTGTCTTTTATTTTTACCATAGTCTTCAAGCACTTGCCAGAGAGTTCAGTTGTGTTCATATCTGAAACAACATCGGTGTGGCTGCTTTGTGGTTGGATGATTTGTGTGTGGGATAATTGATAGAATCATCTTGATGAGAAATTTTTTAAAATGCGCACTGTCTTTACTGAAAACATTTAAAGTTGTTAATTCTTTAGAATGAAGCCTGAATAAATAAAAGGAATGGAGGATAGGGAAAGGAAGCGCTAGTATAGTGCCTAGTGTTGCCTGGCTACGACAGACCTTGGGAGTTCACAGCCAGCAAAGCTTTTCCTTAGTTCCTAGTAGACTCACTTTTCTTCCTCCACTCTGTCACATGGAAATAAGTGTGTTATAAAGGTTATGCTTGCTTCATATTAAAAAATTTGACATTGACAAGCTTAAATAAGAAGGTAGTGGGACTATAATCTAACTATCTATTATATTTGACTTC